TTATTATCTATTATTTATAAATTTATTTAAAGCCTATAAAAAAAGAAGTTTAAATCCATATATCTAATTAAGACTGAAGTAAATAAAGAATTTGAAGGAGAGCATTCCGGATTATTGCATTAGATATTCATTAGAAATTTGCCACGTTACAGTTAGCTTTAAATTTGAATTGATTGATGTAGAGATGTAGGTAAAACTCAAATATATTAAGGAGTTGGAGAAAAGATTTCTGGATCTTCCATCCGACATTCGCTCAAATAATTCCCTACTGAAAATATAATCTAAAAATTTTAAGTAATTTTAAGCTTAAACATAAAATATAACTAAGTCTCTTTCACAAAATGTCAAGTCTATAGAAAAATCTGAAACTACAGAAACCAGAATCATTAAATTTGATATGAAGTATCTTGAAAGCTATATCACAATATTATTAAATTATTGCTTGAACATAATGCTTGGTATTTATATTTTTTCTTTCTTTTTTGTGATTTGTAATGTCTGTACCAACTTTCCTATGGTTTTTAAAACTAGATATATAGGCTAAAAAGCCCACTTACCCTCCATTTTAAGCACTTAAAAATTGCTTTCTATATATGAATACGTGTTCTACTATCTATTCACTGTCTGAAATGCAAGTACTTAAAATTTATGCAAACAACATTTAATACACGACGTTGTGACTCCGACTACGATAAATAAAATACAAAATCAACAAATTGTGCCAGATGACAGGCAAGTCGTTGACATATATGCAAAGAGACTGGAAGCAAAAGCTACCGAAAAATTGTTGAGAAATAGTTGAGCAAACATGGAAAATTGTGGCATGCAACAGGCGCAGTCAGATAGCAAAATAATGCGTTGCATTTAAATTCAAATGTCGAGGAGTCGGATATACGAGCCTAAGATACACAAGCAAACTTTTAAATGGCTTTTCGAGCAATTTTCCAAGTGGGCTGGTCGAATAATGTTGAGTGGGGTGGGCATGGCAGGGCGGCTCTTGCAACAACCGCAAAGTGTGCACCTACAAAATGGCAGAATGGCTGCATGACATTAATGCCAGTTAACCCCAAACGTTGTCCTCGTCGTCAGCTGCAGCTGCATGGCTTTGGCTTTGGCGTTAGCTTTTTCGGCAGGCAGCCCGAGCCTGCTGGCAACCATCTCTCTCTCTCGCTCTCCCGTTACCCATCCCATTAGGGCCGATGCTCACGCACATGAATGCTAATGGAGGTGACAACGGGCGAGAGAGAGTGAGCGATAGAGGGTAAGAGAGACAGGCAGCAGTCAGCAGGCAGCACGCAGCATTGCACAACCACAGAAGCTATGTAAGGGGCCCCTCTTGGCATACACAATTCACCCACCCACGCACAGTAGCCGCACAGTGCTCAAATGTTAACCTGCACAATTATTTAAAGAGTATTGAGTAGTTGACTCTCATGATTTATTATATTGGAAAACTCATTAAAAGCGCGGTAACGATAATTAAGCACGGATCAGCGAGCTGCCTGAGTGCGGCCAGTGTGGATGGCGTTTGAGCGTGACAGATAATTAATTTGTTTACGCTCTGGTCGCTGATGCTATTGTTTCCTATGTATATGTTGGTTGCACTCACAGCGACCATCGTGTGAGCGAATGAAAAAGCAAAGATTACTGCATGTTACAGCCAAGCCTTTGATCCTGTTATACATTAGTTACTCTTTCATCTCATGCATTCGTTACTTGCGCAAAGCGACTATTTTAAGAGCGGGAGAGTAAATTCATATGCTCACTATAGCACTTAAGATCGCATGCTCTTCATCAGCCTGCAGCTATTTACACTGAGCAGCCCCTTAAAGTGTGAGCGAGCTGGCAAATTCTTATGCTTACTACAAACATTTGTCCATTGATCCCGTTATATTATCGTAGACTTTCGTTAGCATTGTATTTGTTCTGAAAGAGAAGCAGCTCAAATTTGCACTTATAATTACGCGTCTCTCTCATAAGGCAGTGAGAGACTAAAGGCAATTCTTTAGTCTGTGTGTGTCCGTCGCCTTTGCTAGGTGATTTCCGCGCTTGTTCGTTTGTTTGTTTTATTTTTGTACATTTAACAGTGTTTCTCATGCTTTTAAAAATCAATAAAGCTATTAATCCATCAACGATCATGCAAATAAATATGCGTTTAAAATAATATTGATCAAATTCGTGCCTGCAATTTTATGCATAGTTTTATTTCACACAGGCAAAAGTGTTTGCGCTCGATCCACAGCTGTAGCCTGCAGCTAAAGTGTGAGCGAGAAAGTATATTCATATATTTTCTGCTTTGCAATTATGAGTAATTTTGCTTTCGATTTCGCTGCTTAAATCAGCTGTCATTGTTTTAGCATGAAAGTCGAGCAAAGGAGACAGATAATTATCGTGCTTTAGTTAGAGTACGTCTGTCTTCAGTAGTGTTTGCGAGTGGTTAACAAATTACCTTTTGAGTGTATAAAAAAGAATAAATTTAATGTGGCCGAAATTAGTTTTACATAATTTGTAATGCAAAGCCTTTGTTATATTAACTAAATGTTAGCAGCTATGTGTATTGGTTCCACATATGTCAGCTGTTTGAATTACCTAAGTGTGGATTGTGTTTGTGGATTACAAAAGAGAGCTTTTAATTTGAGCGTGGATTACAATAGAGGGAGAGAGATAGAGTGAGAGTGCTCTCAAAGTCAGCTAAAATTTAGAGAGGTAAGTCCACACATAAGCACTTGATACCACTGTGCGCAAGTAGCGTGATGCAAGCTGCTTAATTTGTGCAAATAAAATGATTGTGCAACATATGTAACTGGGTTCGCTTGTGGCTCTATTATTCCAAGTACAGTCCTGGCAGCTGCTCAAGCAGCTGCTTCGACTAGTCCTTAAAACCCAACCCAAAACCCCAAGTCCCAACCTAAACCCTAATTTGACCCGCCCGCCCGCCTCTCTTTAGATAGCCGCAGAACTTACAGTGCAATTAAATTGTAATTTGACATTATTTAACTGTTTTGCTGTGTTACATTTTGGCTGGGAACATTTTAGGCAACGTCTCTGAACGTTTGTTTATTATGTCAACAATTAGTGTAATGCAAATTAAACTGTTGTCATTTGTCATAATTTATATATAATGAAAAGCTCGCAAACACAATATTGCTACGATGTAGTCTCTAGATGAAAAATTACTCGGGAAATTGTGGAAAGCAATTTACTTGCACCACAAAGAGTTAGGTATAGATTTTGATATTTAATTCAAAGTTAAATTTATTGTATTTAGTTTACGATTTACGATAGTTATTCTTCATGTGTAGATTATATATTAAGTTTTTTATTTGGAGAACTGATTCTTTACTCTTGTTCTTACTTATTAATATCTGTTCATATTCCAATTTTTAATTTTAAAATTTCGTATATTATTATTTTTATTTTTTTATTTAAGATTATTATATACGATTGGGTAGTATTCATATCTCTTATTGAGATATTCTCAAATTCCATATTTCCATATTATTTTTATACTCCATTTTCAAACACTCATAGTTATTCTATTCTATAATCCACTTGAAAATACTTTTAAGATCACAGATCTGCCAGCGCCAGCTTTTTATTTTATATATATTTTTTCTATATATATAATTTGTATATTTCATTAAATGCTACTTTTTTTGTTCGAATAGATCTTTTATAATTTGTTTTAAGCTGAGCAAAAAAACAGAGAAAATAAGTTCAATGTTGTTTTTTATTTTTTTTTTATTACACTTTGACTTTGAATTAGAGATTATCTTGAACTCTGTAATGCAATCAATAATAATAAATCACATATTTGTTCATTAAATTAGAAAGACTTTAATTTTAGCCCACCGTAAAGTGTTAGACAAGCATTCCACTTCCGTTTACAGTGAACTGCCACAGTCCATAGGAATAAATAGAACTCAAATATTCAAATCAGTTTTAGAGGGTATTGCACATAAAACTTCGTGCCAGCAAGTGGCATGTCCTACACAAGCAATTACAACAACAATGGGGCGGGCAAATAAAAATGCAGAAGACTTCGGTTGTGTGGCTTTTCAATTTCGGCCAGAACAACATGGCTATGGCTATGGCCATGGACATGCTGGCAACGAAAAAGTGGCCATAAACGTGCAATTCACATGCAAAGCACAAAAACTTCACTTCGAAAGCAACACTGGATGGGCGGAAGTGCCAAGCGGCATCCTTCCAGCACCAACAGCAGAAGCAGTACAAGCAGCATCAGCACCAAGGACATCATTGTTCTTGGTGTTGTTGTTGTTGTTGTTGTTCGCTTCTGCCTTGTGGCTAAAACGCAAAATTTGCCTCACAATAAAAACAAAAAACAATGACAAAGCTCACAAAACAGTTTAAGTCTATTTTGGGCAGGAAGTGCCGCTTATTACGCAGGATGTGGTTAACCGGAAATGAAACGAAATAAGCCAACTGCGACGCTCCTTTCCACCTCTCTTCTCGGAGTCTGCGAAAGTCTGTGTATGTTTAAGTTTGTGTGTATGTGCTTGTGAATGTTTATGTGTGTGTGTGTATGAAGTGCATAGGAAACTAATTAAACATGCGCTTTAAGCTTATCGACTTTTCCATCAAATAGCGCAACGCATTTTTGGCAGCCATCTAAATTTATAATTACACTATGCAGCAAGTATATAATAAGATATATATACATATATAGAATTTATAAAAATTATCTATATACCATTTAATTAAATTGAATATTTAAATGGTGATTAAATTGACAACCTCAAACTAAGTTTGGTCTCTAATGAGAGTAGCCAAATGTTTTAATGAGCAAAGTCATATGTGAGCGAATATGGAGTTTGTTTATGTATGTAGACTCTCTATGAACAAAATTTGAAGTAAGAAGGCATCTTCAAGAGTATTTCATATCATTTATATATTCAAGAATTCTTTTATTTAGGGAGTTGAAAAATGGAGATTCAGTTCCGAGGTAATGTGGAAAGCTTCAGGTGCCACTGCTGATAAATAATAAAATTGATTATTAACAATATTTTTAAATAGTCATCATAGTAAT